GTCGGCGGGAGTGCAAGGAAGCCCCACGAGGGCCCTCCCTGGCCCCAGGCAGGCAGGGGTGGGGAGAGGCAGGGAGGAAGCAACTTACCCTCCCTCTTCTCCTGCCTCCTCCTGTCTGAATGAGGGCCGGAAGCGGGGCGGCCGGAAGCAGGGGGCGGGGCTTCGTCATGTGCCCCGCCCCCCGTACATCACCCGGGGGAACTGCGATCCCCTGCGATCCCCTCCAAAATGACCTTTGAAAGGAAGACACAACTAAGACTGCAATCCTAAAAAATCTTTCCTGGGATTACGTCCCTCTGAAGAAAATAGGACTTTTCTTCTGAGTACACCATTTTAGGATTGCTTTCCAAGAGACCTCCCATCTTATCTTCCTCTCTCCTCCTTGAAAAAAGTGGATGCGATCTCCTCACCAAATTAAAAGGATTTCTGGCTATTGCTACATTCCCCGTTTCCAGGCTCACCAACAGTTCCCGGGATGACCCTATAAGAGGCATTCCCACCATCTCAGGTGGTCCAATAGCCTATTGGCTATCATTGCCTTATTCTTGTTTGGTTTCCTTATCATTTGGCTCACTTGTATCCAGTTCCTCCACCACAGCCAGATACAAGGCAAGGTCTGAGACACCTCTGGTAAATAATATGGAGTTCTTATCCAGGTAACGGCTGGGGTTGCCTGCAGGCCTGGAGAAGAGTGTCCTGTAGAGGCTTAAGATGTGGAAATGGGCAGCTGAAGCTTTTGATGGCATGGAGTTAAAGAATATCACCTGGTAAACAAGGCCGGCTCACTCACTAGGCAAACTAGGCGGTCGCCTAGAGCAGGACGGCCCTTAGGGGCGCCAAACTGAACCTGGCCCCATACTCTGGGAGTTTCTTGATTATTTGTGTTTTTCATTCTTCCTAAAATGCATTTATTTTTAAAAGTTGGTGGGCGCACCGGGGGGGGGGGCGCCAGAAGGGATCCTCGCCTAGGGTGCAAAATAAACTGGGGCCGACCCTGCTGGTAAATAACATGACAGCACTCATTCAGGGCTAAAGTTGTGGCTTAAAATTTCCTTTGTGTGTATGTGTGGCATGAAATTTTGTTGTGCAAGACAATCTAAAAAATAGAGAATGGCACTTCCTCAGTATACTGTAGACATAGGCAGCTTCCAAATGTTGAGGATTCTTTGTGCTGCTTTTCATTGCAGAGGCATGCACATGGGCTTTCATGGCCGGAGTTCATTAGTTGTTGTAGATGTTCCGGGCTGTATCCCCAGAGGTATAACACAGAAAGATGGAGTACTCTCTGTCTCAGTGTGAGAAGAAAAATGGTCGGCAGGTCATTTATATCTACTCAGGAAGGTGGGGTAGGGCTGAGTCATTATCTTGTAGGAGTTGCCCAGGCTGTGACATGCTAATGGAGGAGAATTCCTGAGGAGGTTCTTTTGCATATGGATTGGCTGTTGAAATTATAATCTTATCTGTAGCGCTGTTGTAAGATGTAGAGCATTTTGTGTTTTTCAGGACTGGAGACATGCCCTATTTATTTTTAAGCTCTCTTCTTTCCTGTTGAAATTGTGTTTATGTTTATGAATTTCAATGGCTTCCCTGTGTAATCTGACATTGTAATTGGATGTGTTGTCCAGCATTTCAGTGTCTTGTAATAAGATAGTGTGTCCTGTTTGAGTTAGGCTGTGTTCAGCCACTGCTGATTTTTCAGTTTGGCCAAGTCTACAGTGTCTTTCATGTTCTTTTATTCTTGTCTGGATGCTACATTGTGTGGTCCCGATGTAAACCTGTCCACAACTGCAAGGTATGCGGTATACTCCTGCAGAAGTGAGGGGGGTCTCTTCTGTCTTTTGCCGATTGTAGCACCTGTTGTATTTTTCTGGTGAGTCTGAATACTTTTTGTAGGTTGTGTTTTTTCATAAGTTTTCCCATCTGATCAGTGATTGATATATGGCAAAAACACTTTTCCTGTGTTTCTTCACAAAGTGTATTTAATCAAAGGAGTCAGGCTCACAGGGTGGTCAAGAGGAGTCAGCTACCCCAACACTTTCAGAAGCTAAGTATTCAGTGGCATTAGTTCATCCCATGTGCAAACAACATATGCAAACCCTATTCATGTGGCTTTATTTCTAAAATAGCTTTTAGTATTGATTAAAATTGTCTATTCCACTTGAAATTAATATATTAATGACATTTTCAAATTGTAGATATGAAGTTCCCCATTGTGTTCATGTATGTATAAGCTCATGAAATGGGCACATTTATCAGTGTGGCATGTATGCATAAATATATATGGATGAATTTATTGAGGGTTTAAGCTGTAAATCAGCAGAGCTCTTATACTTGTGGCTGTGAGTGCTCCCTCTAAGCTGAGTTAGTGTGAGCTAGCTTACAGTTTTTTAGCCTCTGGCTCACACATTTTTGTCTTAGCTCAGGAAGGAGGGCTCCAGAGCAAACCAATTTATGCAGTAGCCAAATCGCTCACTCACAGCTTTAATGCCGGTAGCTCACAAAGCAGAATCTTTGCTCACAAGACTCCACAGCTTAGAGGGAGCATTAATTCCACTGCAAATGCCCAAAGGCACAAAGCAGCTTGTACATAAGCATGTCAGCTACATGACAAAAACATGTTTTGACTGAAAATATTTCTTTTTAATACAGAATACATCAGCAATATCTGTAATGCTAAAGTGCTGGAGCGGTGATGTGGAAGTGAGTAATTTTTTAAAAAAATCCTTGCGTCGATGTCTTCCTCTCCTCTCTTGCGTTTGTGCTCGGTTCACCAGGGTAGGAGCATGCTCCTAATCAAGGATAATATCCAAGAGGCACCCACAGATGTCACACCAGCATATACACACATCCATTTCCCCAGTGCTATTCACGTTCCTAGGGTCTTTTATTGTTTTTTTTTTCAGGGGCCAGGTTGAAGCACACCAGAAATGTGTACACTGCTTTGACCAGAAATACTGTTAGATCACAAATACTACAGGTCATAAGTGCTCTACAGTTCTACCTTCTGAAAAACTATCATCTATACACTGCCATGTTCATCTCTAACATCCAGATGTATGAATCTCCTTTCTGTTGAGGATCCTCCCATATTTGATCTTACCTGCAATCTGGCCATTGAGGAAGTGCAGTAGAGTTAAGACGCAGTGTTCCCTCGAAGCTGAGTTAGTGTGAGCTAGCTCACAGTTTTTTAGCCTCCGGCTCACACATTTTTGGCTTAGCTCAGGAAGGATGGCTCCAGAGCAAACTACCTAATTGATGCAGTAGCCAAATCACTTGCTCACAACTTTCATGCTGGTAGCTTACAAAGTAGAACTTTTGCTCACAAGACTCCACAGCTTAGAGGGAACCCTGGTTAAGAGCAGGCAGGAATTTGCAAAAACCATAGAGGGAAGATGGCAACTCCCCTGTCCTCTCACCTTTCCCTGCTTCCATCTCTCTTTCCCAAATCCCATCCACCAAACAACTAACCTTTTATCCACCCCATCACCAGCTGTATTTATTCATTTACTTCCTTTATGCCTCACCTTCCTCCACAATGGAAACCCAATGCAGCTTACATCATTTCCCACTATTCCACTTTTTCCTCACAACAACCTTATGAGGTAGACTGTCCCAAGGTCATCTAGTGAGCTTGCACGGCAGAGTGGGGAATTTGAACCTGAGTCAGAAATTGCAAGTAGATAAATAGGTACCACTTTGGTGGGAAGGTAACAGCGTTCCGTGTGCCTCGGCATCTAGTCATGCTGGCCACACGACGTTTTCGGACAGCGCTGGCTCTTCGGCTTGGAAACGGAGATGAGTACCGCAACCCTAGAGTTGGATTTGACTGGCTTTCAAGCAAGGGAAACCTTTACCTTTTACCTACCTCACAGATCCTAGTCTGAAACTTTAACAACTATGCCAAACTGTGGGGTGGCTGCTGTTGGACATTAGGAAGCCACTGGGCCTCGGTGAGTTGTGCATTGGCAGCAATGGCCAGGATGAGTCCTCCCTCAAAAGCTAAAGCAGCCCTGGAAAGTGCTCCCCCCCCCCCCCCGGTCGCCTTTTATGAACAGAAACCAAGTTTTGAAGTCCGGCAATACTGTGTGATTACCTAACACTCTGCTATACGGTTTATTAATGGACTCTTATATTTCTCAATGGTATCAACACATCAGGTCCAAAATTGATTCTTGGAGTCCCTAACGAACTGAGATGAGAACCAATTATTTCGCCGTATCCGTCAGAGAATTTCGGATACAAAGAGTCAGACCATTGCTGTGGGAACTAACATGACTTGCTCTCCTTGTTTTCATGGCCTGCTGTCCACCCCAGGGCTAGGAGCTGCCTACATGCAAAACCTTACTAATCCTCGACAGCGTTGGGCCTTTATGCTTGCTAGATTTAATATTTTCCCTTCACCTGTTCTTTCAGGTAGATATCATAATATACCTTTTAAGAACAGACGATGTATATACTGTTTACTGGAACCTGACTGCGTTTCCCATATTTTACTTCGCTGTCCCATGCATTCTGAGGTTCATCAACAACTCCTTGATCCTGTTATTTCCAACCTCTCTGGTCCCCCAGAGAGAATTACTCAATATTTACTTGCTGATGGAACTTGTGGCTGAGTATCTGGTTATTGTGTTGAACAGGGATAATCGTGTTTCTAAGGCAGAGAATACTTGATTAATTTTGTTCTTATGTGTTGTTATTCTTTGATCCTGTTTTATTGTCTAAGACTATATTACTCCCATCTTGTTTTTATTTATGTAAGACTATTTCTGCATTTTATTACACTTTATGCCATTAAAGGTTTCTGAAACGGATTACCTAGCAAATAGCCACCGAGGGCATTCATTTCTTAAAGATATAGATGCTTCTTCTATTATTTTGAGAGGAGTTAACCTCCCCCCCCCCTTTTTTGAGATTTCAGATTTTTCTGCAAACACAAGGATTTTTCTTAGGTTTCTAGGAAGATCTGTCTTGTCAGTTCATGGCCAGTGTCTCTGGGTTTAAATATCCACAGATTGGGCCATGTTGAGAATGAAGTTATATTGATGTTGGGAACTGGTAACAGAGCGGGGGGGGGACAGAGTGCTCATTAAACAAATCCTTACAGCTGGTTTAGCTACAGGTTATCCTTGCTTGCAATCTCTGCTCATATCGACTGCCAAATAAAGTTGCCAGACATTTGTTGTCGGAAGGAATTGTTCCTTATTTCTAACATCACCAGCTTCAAAAAATTCTGTCGTGTCTTTTATTTGCAACTTTTGTTCAGTCAACCAACAGCTAGTCACATTCTGCTTTCCCCGCAACCAGATAACTACTGTGGGCATAACTGTGTCTGTCATCGACATGAATGATAACTCCCCTGTGTTCAAGGAAGCTAACATCACTGTCAGTATTAATGAGGTAAACAATATTATTCATGCATCATCCGAATAAAAGGTAAAGGGGTCATAATTATAATCTGATGGGGCTGTAATCTTGGAAGGAAAAAAGCATGTATGTGCAATAATGAAAATATGCATTATAGTGCAATCCTTAATTGAGTTACACCCTTCTTTTTCCTGTTTAAAATCCACAGTTTATTAATTTCTGTAATGAACAATAATACAGTTGACCTTATTTTCCATCAATCTATTATATTATTCACCCCCAAAATTATTAATTAATAGAAAGTGTTCTCAAACTAATCCACTAACTCCTGTTATACCTAACTACTAACCAAGAATCACTTCCTATTCCGAATCCTGTTATCTTATAACATCCTTCTGAACACTTTGACTTCAGTTAACTTGGAAGGGTATAACTCTGTTTAGAACTGTACCATTAATTGCTTCAATAGCTGTCAAAAAGTCAAATCTTCTGGCCCCATTTTTGAGCACCTCGATTTAGAGTGGCTCCTGGGCAGGGCTGGCCCGTTACTGTTAAATTTTAGACCATCGCCTAGGGTGATGGCTCAACGAGGGCGCCGTTCTGGCCGGACTCGTCCCCTCCTAGCCCCGCACAGGAAGCCTCCCTTTCCGGCTTCTTGCTCCGTCCCCGGTAAGAGACTCCCCTCTTTGCAGCCCCCCAGACAGAAAGAGAAGGAGGTGGGGGGGACAGGTGCCCCCTCTCCCCTCGAGTGATCCCACCCCCCACATGCATTTGCAGCTTGCCCCCTCAGCCCGCCCGCTGCGGCTCCGACGCCCACCCCATCCCGCCCCACACGGGGGGGGGGACAAAATGTATCCTCGCCTAGTGAGCAAAAAAACTGGGGCTGTCACTGCTCCTGGGTCTTTGGGACCACCTGTCATCCTCACATCTTGGAAAAATAACCACAGACCAATGCAGGACTCCACTGTAGCTCCAGGCTTCCAGAGTTCTCTTCCCAGGAAGGCTTGCCAAAAATCCAACCTCTTATGCCTTCAGCAAGAAAAAAAAGAAAGAAAGAACATTCTCTTCATACGTTAATTATGAGTGGTTTTACTTTAGAGACTGAAATTTACATTAAATCTATCATCCTTTTTTGCTAGTGTATTGGCAAGTTTCTCTGCCTCAGCTCTTTTGGGACAGATGACATATGGACGGTTCTATTAAGTACATATGGCAGAAAAACGACACACTTTTGTTTTTCAGGACACCAAAGTGAACACGACTGTTGTGCCCCAGGCGGATGTAACTGCTACTGATGCTGACTTAGACACAGTATTTTACAGCCTTACAGGAAGTCCACTGGTTAGTATCTAGTTCAATGGAGCCCTTGGGATAGGCAGAATGGAAGTCCCAATAAATCAATTGCTAAGTCAAATGAAAGGATGCTGTAAAAAGTTCTTCGTATGAACTGTGATCTTCGTGTGGCTACTGCCTGTTCCACGAACCACCTATTTGTGGGATGAGACAGTGGAATTAAGAAAGAAGACGGGGACGGCAAAGGATGAGATGGTTGGACAGTTTCATCGATGCAACGAACATGAAGTTGAGCAAACTTCAGAGGACGGTGGAAGACCGGAAGGCCTGGCGTGAACTGGTCCATGGGGTTGCGAAGAGTCGGACTCGACTGTGCGACTGAACAACAACAAAAATGAAAAAATCTGCTATTTTTTTCTGCTTGCTGGCCGGGAATGTTGTTGCTCTCCTCCCTCTTCTCTAGCATGCCCAGCATTTGCCGGCACCCATTAGCTTTACAGAAGGCAATAAATTACTTACGGCAACAAGCCAACAAGCCATAAACTTCTCTTTACATTCAAAGAGAAGGATTTTCTCAGCTTTCAGTTTTGCCCAGCTTTTTGTTTAAACAAGAAAGCAAAAATAGCCAAAATAGCCAAAAAAAGCCAAAAAAATGTAAAGACTGGGTGTTTAGTTTGCAGAATGTATGCATGTATGTATTTATTTATTCGATTTCTATCCCACCCTCCCAAAGGCTCAGGGCGGCTTACATGCGGGAAATATAAAAATCACAAAACAAGATAAAATCATTCTGTCCCGGTTCTCCGGCCCCGGAACGAACCCTCCCACCCCCAGAGGCATACCCACACCCCAACTCACCCCAGGAGCGGCGGACGAGCCGGGGAGAGTTGGTGACACAGCCCCCGCAAAGGATGCGGCGCGATGGTGTGACTCCCGAGGGCCCAGACAAGAAACACACCAACAGCAGGGCGAGGCCCGCCCAGTGAGCACCGCGGTGCCCCTCCCTCGAGAGGCGTGGCTCCGGCCCCACTGGGTGAAAACGGAGGCCGGCTGCAGCAAACGGCAGCACCGGTGGTGCGGCCCCGGGCCGAGGGGACCGCCGCCGGCCCACTGCTGACCACACCCCGGACGCCCAAGGAGCGTCCCGGCATATAAACGGGGGCGGATGGGGGAGGAGGGAGACGGGGAAGATGGGCAGCGCTGACAGGAGAGAGGGGGAATAAAAAGAGGGGCTCTTTGAGAGGACCGGAGAGGAACAGCGTGAGACGGAAGACACTACGCACGACGGCTAGAGAGAGAGAGCAAGGGGCAAGTGATCTCCAGCCCACGAGGCAGAGGGACCTGAGGGGTGCTGCTAACCCCGTTCCCTGCCTGTCTGAGGTCCTACCCGCAGCTCCCTTTGGCGAACCCACCCCGACTGCCAGCACAACCCAGCCAACCGCCAGCGCAACCCAGCCAGACGCCCCGGCCACCGGTGGAACGCCCCCCCCCCAGCGCCCAGGAGAGGCTCGTCACACATTCACTCTTAGCTTGTCAAGCAAGGGGAAAGTTTCTTACATTCCTCTATGTGCTGTCAGAAGGTAAACAGAGCAGATAAGCCTCCGATTAGCACTTGTGGGGGGCTTAGAGTGCTTTTAGGCACATCCACTTGAGCCAAGGAGAAGCCACAATCATGACGGGACTGAAACCACAGGGTAATAAAATAATGCAGACAGCAGAAATTATAACAGCGCAGTAGGAGAGCAAAACCTAAAGAGATGTGGACATCTTTTTTGGAGACGGAGCGAGAGTGTAGCCGAAGCAGTGGAAAATACCAATGCAGATTCCACCTTAGAGAGAACAGTGCCGCCATACGTTCAGAGATTACGGAGATCACCCGCATGTACTACAGCGTGTGCACACCGGCGTACCCTCCATGCACACTGCCTACTCAATCGGGACCAATGGCCTTAAGCTGCAGAAAGGCAGAGTTCGGGGGAACTTGAGTCAGAACTATCCAAGCAGCTGAGCAATGAAATAAACTTTATTGCCAGGCTACAGAGATGGGACCAGAGGTCGATTCGGGGGGGGGGGGTCGCAGGGGATCGCCGTTCCCCCGGGTGAGGTGCGGGGGTGGGGCACACGACAAAGCCCCGCCCCCTTCTTCCAGCCGCCCCCTGCTTCCAGCCTCACTCTTTTGCAGAAGGAGGAAGAAGCAGGAGGGTAAGTTGGCGTCCTCCCCCTCTGCCTGGCCGAGGCCACTCCACGTGGCCTCCGCAAGGACTCCCAACCCCATCCAGGAGCTTCCCCGAGGTAGCTGTGTTAGTCTGTTGCTGCAAAATAGTCCAAGAGTTCAAATAGCACCTTTAAGACTAACAAATAGCACCTTTAAGACTAACCTTTAAGACTAAGACTAACTGAGTGGTGGGGGTGGCCTTATGACACACTTCCGGTGATGACAGGGGGTGTGGCCTTATGACACACTTCTCGTGATGTCAGGGGGTGTGGCCTTTTGACACACTTCCGGTAATGTCAGGGTGTGTGGCATATGCTAATGAGTTATGCTAATGAGTTCCCCTAGCTCTTTTTCGACGAAACGACCCCTGGATGGGACATATTGGGCACTCATCTCGTGGGGATGCTTTAGGTGTAAAACAGACTAGACAGAGGTTGTTCTTCAGCTGGATCATTGATATGTACCATTATGCCCTTTCCCTATCATCATGAATGAAAACTTCTCTGTCAACTAGGAAAATGAATATCGTTGAAACTGCATCCATCAGTACATACTGAGGAGCAAGACACAATTCCATTTTGTTAGCAGGCCAGCCCACAGATGTCTCAGTAACCCAGTTGTTTCAGCTTTTACTGACACAACAGTAAACTATGGTCGAATCTGCATTTGCATTTTTAAATCAGTTTCATGCTGCTGTGATGCTGCCTTTCTCTATGCTTGTTTGAACATTCTTTGGAGGGTCGAGTCTGCATTTGTCTTTCCCACTGGTGTCCGAGCCTTCTGACACCGTCTTTTAAAAAGCTGTCTATATTTGGTGTCGTTTCCACACCTGAGCAGTGCTAGCGTACTTTTGCATGTCTGCATATGTTTATTGCCCTTTCGGGGCGGCTCCATGGTCATTGCACCTCTGCACGGCTTTAAAAGAATCTTCTTCAAACAACATTCCAGCAAGCATAGAGAAAGATGGCGTCACAGTAGCATGAAACTGATTTAAAAATGCAGATTCGACCGAGAAGATTCATTTAACGCAGTGTGGAGGTGCAATGACAGTGGAGCCGCCACGAGAGGGCGGTAAACATATGCAGACATGCATCAGTATGCTAGCTCTGTTGAGGTGTGAAAACGAAACCAAATGTAGACAGCTTTTTTGAAGATGGAGTCAGAAGGCTGGGATACCGGTGGGAAAGAAAAAATGCAGATTTGACCTATATGCTTAACAGTAAATGGCATTTTATTTATATCCTCCTTCCCCCCCTATAGGGAACCCAAATGGCTTACTTCTTCATTTTAGACCCTGTATCTGTGATATAGGTTGCTGTCCTCTCTCTCTCTTTCTTTGGTTTCCAGGAAGCAACTGACTATTTTAATATACAAGGAGTTAATAACCCAGCAATATACTTGCACAAGGCCCTGGACTATGAAACACTGAACTTCATGCAGTTGACTTTATATGCCATGGTAAGTGAGTGAACCATGTTTATTCATGGCCTACTGCATGCATACGTATGTTTCATGATGCACCAGAATAATCCCCAGTGTGTTTTCAGAATTAACTTTGTGTGACAGAGTGTTGGACTAGATGGGCCATGGGCCTGATCCAACATTGGCTCCTCTGATGTTCTTATATCAGCAACCCTGAAGATAGATCCAGGTTAGGGTTGCTAGGTCTGGGTTGGAAAATACCTGGAGACTTTGGGGATGGATCTGGGAGAGGGTGGGGTTTGGGGAAGGGAGGGGCCTCAAAATGGTACAATGCCATAGAGCCCTGTAATGTGTTCAATAAGCTGCCATTGAATGCATAATGTGTTATGAAAACATCTAATTGAAATGCTATGTTAAGCTTCATCCTGGGCTAGGGTCCAAATACATCCAATCACATTGCTAGCCCAGGAAGCACCTAACCAATCACTATCAACAAGCTCCCTGAGCAGGAACGTCCGTGATTGGTCCTTATGCATACAACCATATTGGTTGGTAAATGTACAGTAGGCATGGCTACATTAGCCGTGAGACTTTAAAAGCAGGACAGCTGCAATGTAAAAGCGTGTTCTGGCTATCAGATGTTGATCCGTGTTGGAGTTGTGTTTGAGTTGCTGAATAAAGCTGAATCTTTGCTGAATCACTCTCCGAATACTTTGTTAAGTGAGCGACTTAGCAGCCCACCCTTCAAAGCAGCCATTTTCTCCAGGGGAGCTGATCTCTGTCAGCTGGGGATCAGTAGAAGCAGGAGATCCCCAGGCCCCACCTGGAGGTTGGCAACCCTAATCCAGGTGGGTAGCTGTGTTGGCCTGAAGCAGTAGAGCAAAGTTTCACTGGCTTTTATTAGCAACCCTGGCAGAACCAGGGATCTGTTCTGGGTGCATGATATACAGCCGAGGTTTCCATTCCTGCAAAAGCTTGCCTGTTCCTTCAATGCAGGGACCTGATCTGCATGCAGTGTTCCCTCTAAGCTGAGTGAGTGTGAGCTAGCTCACAGTTTTTTAGCCTCCGGCTCACACCTTTCTGTCAGCTCAGGAAGGATGGCTCCAGAGCAAACTAATTTATGCGGGAACCAAATTGCTCGCTCACAACTTTAATGCCAGGAGCTCACAAAGTAAAATTTTTGCTCACAAGACTTCACAGTTTAGAGGGAACATTGTCTGCATGTGTAAGGAATGCACTTGCAGAGCTACATCCTGCACGGAAGTGAATAGGGAAGGTTGCTGGCAAATGGTTATGTTATGCGTACAACACAAAGTTCTTAATCAAAGGTACCGTCTTTAAATTACTGGTGCAAGTCAATGCAACTAAATGAACTTGGGTCAGTGAATGAAGATCTACCCTGCTCATTTTGGCAAAAGTACTGGTAGGGGTTTGTTTATTTATTTATTTATTTGTTGCATTCAGGGCTATTTCTGAGCAGGAACGCACAGGAATGGAATTCCGGCTGGCTCCTGAGATGACCACACCCAGCAGGAACTCATTAGCATAACAGGCCACACCCAACAGCAGAAACTCATTAGAACTGGCTACATTAGGGTTGTGTGGCCTAACATACAAAGGAGTTCCTGCTACACAAAAAGCTCTGAGTTTTGACAACAAGGTAAACAGAATAAGAAGCAAAAGGGGTGTGTGGCTGGATGACCACACTTCTGGTAACATGGGGGTGCGGCCTAATATGCTAATGTGCTGTGCTGTCAAGGGTGTGGCCAAATATGCTAATGAGTGTCTGCTGTTGGGTGTGGCCTATTATGCTAATGAGTTCCTGCTGGGCTTTTTCTACAAAAAAAGCCCTGGTTGCATTTATATCCTATTACATATTTTACCAGATGGTCATGTTCTAGTTTTTTTTATTCTTTATTTCTTCCTCTTTATATAGGATGGGAATGCTAATGCATCAGGCACTCACACAGCCACAGCGACGATAACCATACATATCCTACAGGCTGACCTCAGACCTCCCTGGTTTCAGCCGTGCACTTTCATCGCAGGCAGCAAAGTGTGTATCAATCGTGGCTACACCGGCAGCGTCAACATCTCAGAGATGATGGTATGTGGTCAGGGTTCCTAGGCTGTGTCCACCACACCAGAACGCCTCAATTAATTTTGGTTGGTTTCTGTTCTTCACTGTTTGCCCTTTCTTGTTCCTAAACATTCCTGTGCTGCTCTTTGGCCATTTGCAGTCCATAGTTTTAAGAGCAGGAAGGGGCCTCTTGTGAGTAAGCATTTCTGTCTACCATGTCAAGCCCAGAATGAACCTGAGGGTATCACCTAGAACAGTGGTGGCGAACCTATGGCATGGGTGCCAGAGGTGGCACTCAGAGCCCTCTCTGTGGGCACACATGCCATCACCCCAGCCAGGCCCAGACCATCATAAAAGTGTCAAATTCTCGGCCAAATAATTTTAAGTAAATGAAAGCATTTGGAGATTGCTTTCCTTACTTTGTTTGGATCATCTTAAGTTAATGTATGGGTTGTTTTTTCTAAAGTAAAACCTCAGTATTCAGGTTAAATTGCCGTGTTGGCACTTTGCGATAAATAAGTGGGTTTTGGGTCACAGTTTGGGCACTCGGTCTCTAAAAGGTTCACCATCACTGACCTAGAATGAACCGTGGACTGTCTCGGTTGTTCCTCCAAAAAGCAGCTATGGTGGGTCAAACCTCTATGCAAAATAGATCTTTTACTGGCCCACATCCGAGGCTCTAATGATATGATCTAATGTAGTGCATTTTTTTTGAGGCTGAGCAGAAAAAAAAGTATACAAAGAGAAAGTGTTTTTCCCCCTTTGGTCCTTTGTCAAATCAAAACCATCCTCCTCAGCCTGCTTTTTAACCTATATGTAGAAAGAGAAAGGATCTCTGTAATTTCCATGTAACTTCTGCGGATGCATATAATAGCCAATGGGATCAACTACTGGAAAAGAAAATGTGATCTCTAGGTATAACAAACAATATGGTAAAGATCATGGAGACCAAAGAAATAATTAGGCTAATTAAATTGCACATTAAGAAACTGGATATGTGCCGGAAAGTATAGGAAAAAATCTGAAAGAAGAACTGATAGAAAATATCTCTCAGCAATTGAAAGTGGGAACCTATGATGAAATAGACAAAGAAATAGAATCAATATATAGGGAAAATACCACATATGCAAGAAGGCACAAAACACCAAGAGAGGTGCAAATAAAATTCAATGGAAGACGAATGAGAGATAAAATTTTAAAAGCGTCAAATGAAATGCCAATAAAGATCAATGAGAATGAAATAAAAATATCGAAACATGTACCCTGGAGAATACGAGAAAAAAGGCAGGTATATTACACTTTAACGGATCTGCTGAGGAATAAAGATATTCCGTATAGATGGCTCATGCCAGAAGGAATACTCTTCACACTTAAAGGAAAAAGATTTAAGATAGACTCGGTATTTAAAGTACAAAACTTTTTAGAAAATTACGGAGAAGATCTTGGATGGGAAGGTGAAAGAGATGAGGAAAGTGAAAAAGTAAGTAAAACAGGAGACGAGGAGGAAAGAGAAACTAGGGAAGAACAAGAAAAGAAAAAGAAGAGAACACAACAAAGGAAGAGAACATACCCCTCAGACTCTCAGGTTCTCACGAGATTTAGAGCAAACTTTAAAAAGACAACCAATCAATATGGAAAGAAATAGGAAGATGCAGATTCTATCTATAAATGTTAATGGACTAAATAGTGCTCAGAAACGTAAAAGAATTTATTAACAAATAAACAAATACAAAGCAGGAATTGTGTGTTTACAAGAGACACACATAAGAGAAGAAGATAATAAATACCTAAATTAAAAAAAAACAGGAAAATTATTCTATGCAGCTGACAAAAAGAAAAAGAAAAAAGGAGTAGCAATATATGCTAGAGAAGAGTTAAATCTGGAAATTGCCTTCACAACATCTGATGGAAGAACGGTAGCAATAACGGTAAATAGAAACAGTAAGAACTTGATGATAGTAAACGGATACGCACCAAATCAAAACCAGGAAAAATTTTACAGGTCCCTGAAAGAAACAATAGTATTGCAAAATTTTGATGAGTTATGTCCTGTAGGTGATTTCAATGCGGTTTTTGAAACCAAAATAGATAGGAAAAATACTGGAAAAAACAAAAAATGGGGTAATACATTACCAAGAGCCTTTTTGGAACTAGTAGATGAACAGAATCTAGTAGATGTATGGAGAGTAAGAAATCTGGAAAGAAAAGATTTTACCTTCTATTCAAACAGGCACAAATCTTGGTCACGAATCGATATGATATGGTCATCAATATCGTTACTTAATGAAGTGGAAGAAATAGAAATACTTCCATCTACTTTTGCCGACCACAATCCGGTGGTGATGACAGTACATGGAACTCAAAAGAAACGAAGATGGTACTTAAATAAAAAATTGATGAACAAAGAGAGTTTTGCAGAAAAGACTAAACAAGACATAAAAGAATTTTTTGATAACAATATGCGGGCAGAAACATCGATCTTAGTAATCTGGGATGCCTTCAAAGCATATTTAAGAGGAATATTTATAAATGAAGAAGCATGGGTGCAAAAGCAACGTAGAAAAGAATATAAAAATCTGATAACACTGATGAAACAAGAAGAAGGCAGATTGAAAAAGGGAAGAAATGAAGCCCAAATAAAAGTTAAACTCAAAGTGCTCCAACACCGTCTAAACTTGATATTAACGCAAGAAATAGCGAGAAAGCTGGAATATACAAAACAATACTTCTTCGAGAACGCGAATAAGCCGACCAGATGGCTGGCTTACAAGATAAGGAAAGAAAAGACTAAAAAAAATATTACAGCACTCAGAGACGAGAAACAAATAGAAAAAACAAAGCTGCAGAACTCAATGAAATAGTAGAAAAATACTATAAAAATCTATACCAACAAGAATACCTAAACCCCCAAAGAACAAAAGAATATATAGCAAGATGGAATAATAAGAAATTCGATGAAAAACAAAAAGCAACACTGAACAAACCTATTTCACATGTAGAGATAACAGAGGCAATTCGAAAGCAAAAAAAAAACAAGACACCAGGCCCCGATAGTATCCCAATAGAAGTATACCACAAATTTGAAGACCAAATAGTAATGCCGTTTAAGGAGGTATTATTGGAAATTGAACAAGGAGGAAAAATGCCACAAACATGGAATGAAGCCCTGATCACTTTAATCCACAAAGCAAACACTGACGGGAAAGAAGTAAAGAACTATAGACCCATATCATTACTCAATGTGGATTATAAAATCTATGCAACTATATTAGCCTCAAGACTAAAGAAGGTTCTAGTTGAAATAGTGCATCAAGATCAGACAGGATTTCTCCCTAACAGACAAATGAAAAGTAATCTAAGAATGATTATGAACATATTGGAATACTATGAACTACATCCAAGTGAACAATTAGCGTTGATATTTCTGGACGCAGAAAAGGCTTTTGATAGGGTAACTTGGGACTTCATGTTACAGAAATTAGCAATCTGGGACTGCGGAGAAAACTTCTATGCAATGATAAAAGCAATATACTCAAAACAATCAGCTAAAGTAATAATAAATGGGGACACGACACAAAGTATTCCAATTGAAAAAGGCACAAGACAAGGATGCCCCCTGTCACCTCTACTATTTATCTTTACGTTAGAAACTTTAACAGATTTGGTAAGAGAGAATGACAGAATAAAAGGATTAAAAATACAAAAGGAAGTGTATAAGCTGCAGGCCTTCGCGGACGATTTGGTGTTCGTAGTTGAAGATCCGATTAATTCGATACCAGTGCTGATGGAAGTAATTGAGAGCTACGGAGAAGTTGCTGGTTTAAAAATAAACTACAAAAAGACAAGTATGTTAACAAAAAACTGTACATTTCATCAAATCGAGCAGATAGAAAAGGTGTCTCGAATGAAGACGGTCACCAAAATTAAATATTTGGGAATAACCATGTCCAAAAGGAACAATACGTTAATTGAGGATAATTACGCTAAATTATTAACGGAAATTACAAAGGACTTAACAAAATGGGGTAACCTTCAAATATCCTTTATGGGGAGAATAGCAGTCCTAAAAATGAATGTGTTACCGAGATTCCTGTTCTTAGCGCAAAATATTCCAGTTTTGAGAAGTATGAAAATATTTAATGAACTTGATAAAACCTGTAGAAAATTTGTATGGGCTAATAAACCACCACGGATTAAATGGAAAGTTCTACAAGATTGGAAAGAGAAAGGTGGATTAAATCTCCCGAACTGGAAGCTTTACTACTCCGCTGCTGCAATGTCATGGATTAAAGAATGGGTCATACTAGCAAATAAAAGACTGTTGACTTTAGAAGGCTTTGATTTGGACATGGGGTGGCACGCATACATGGGTTATAATAAAGATAAAATACACAGGAAATTTAACCAGCATACCATTAGAGGAGCAATAAATAAAATTTGGCAGGAAATTAAAGATATATACTACCTTAAAACGCCAAGATGGCTCTCCCCCCTAGAAGCCTTTATAAAACCCTCTCTAAGGAAAAATACAGAATTATTACCATATGAAATGTTACTGGATAAAACAAGTAAACTTAAATCACAAGAAATACTTGAGAAACAGGGTATAAAGTTATCATGGTGGGAAAATATGCAATTGAAAAAATGCTTTATGAAAGATGGAAAAAAAGGTTTTTACTGTGAAAAAAATGATTTAGATAAGTTATGGTTATCATCGAATGACAAATTAATTCAAAAGCTATACAATCTATTCCTAACCAATTTTGAATTAGATGAAGAGGTCAAAAGTACAATGATTGGTTGGATGCAAGATTTAGGATATACGATAGAATATTGGTCTAAAATATGGCTAACTGCAAAACAACTAAGAGCAATATTGTATAAGGAAAATGTGTTTAAAATGTTCCACCGGTGGCACTGGTCCCCGGATAAAATCACCAAATGTTACAAGAACGTATCCAAAAATTGTTGGAAATGTAAACATAATGTGGGCACTTTCTACCATATGTGGTGGAGGTGCTCCAAGACTCAACAATATTGGCAGAAAGTATACAAGATGTTGACAGACATGTTTGTGGTAGAATTGCCTTTTAAACCTGAAATGTTTCTGTTAAATTTACTGCCAGATAAGTTGAAAAAGGAAGAAAAGTATGTAATTGGATTCATTATAACAGCAGCACGTATCTTGTTTGCCAAAAATTGGAAGCTAGAAAGGATACCATCAAGAAGAGACCTAATTACTAAAATACAAGAAGTAGTTGAAATAGATAAATTGACTACAATACTGGAGAATAAAGATATGAAAATATTTAATAGCAGATGGGAAAGGTTTTATAAATGGACTAGAGAAAACAAAGTATTAAGCTAGATTGTGACGACTCTGTTAAGATACTGACAAATGTAGATGTATTATATGCATGATGTAATGCATAAGAAAACTGAAATAAAAATATTTTTCAAAAAAAAAGAAGAAACTGGATATTAACAGCACATCTGTCAGGGCCCGCAGGGTATGCTCAGTGTCTTATTTAGGTATTGCAAACTGTTTAGAATGTTGGAGGCGAGACTCAAGCAATGCAGCCAGTGGATAGGGACAAATTCTGAGTGACACACCAGGGCGCCAACCAATTCCAGAGTGTGTGGAATGTTCTAGAGAAGTGCCACCACCATTCGGCTTTTATATATAAGGGAGATTCCCTGTGAGAAGTGTTGGATGTTCCAGGTGAGATGTCCCCTGTCTCAGACCTCCAGACTGAGTGGCAAGAGAGGCTAGATAGCTAGATAGGCACACTGACCTTTCTTCCTGTCTTTACTCTTCTGTCACTGTCCACATTGGAATGCAGACTGTGTTCTCAGTGACCATTTCCCCTTCCTTCTTCTCTCTCACTCTGATGAAGACAAGGTCTTCCTGCATGCACCAAAAGAGAGACATATGGTCCTCTCTTGGCACCATGAGGCAGATGGGTCTCTCACCGTCTGCTTCCATCCTTTAGCTAGTAAGTTAGTATCCTATCATGTCCCTACTTTTTCCTATCCAAAGTGTACTTCTCAAATAAAGAGAGAAGTATTTCTCTTCTAAACTTGCAACGTGGCTCTGTGTAGCTTTGTAAACTGAGTAACCTGGTAAAGTGACACTCCTTTGTTTGTAGCTTTATTTCAGCCCTCTGCTAACTAATGGTTACTGGACTAACCACACCAGTTAACCTCGATAAGAAAGAACCTGCCATTCTGTATGTTAAGTACACTGACCACAGTCAAGGTTTACAGGAACATGCAACATTGCATGTTTTGCTCGTCACTGGCAAACTCATTAAATGCTGTTTCCTGTGAGAAAAGCAGGGATAAATGGGTGGGGAACAGGGAAGCCACTAGAAAAAAAGTGACAACATCTACCGTCTGCAGTGCCTTGGCCTTCAAAAGTGCCAGGATGAATTCAGGCACTTAATTATCATTTGGTTGCAATCTCACCCTCTGCGTCCTTCTTTTACAAACCTAACTAAATGTAAAAGAAGTGAACGTAATCCTAAGGCTGCAGCCCTAAGAATACTTTCTTGGAAATAAGTCTTGTTGGGGGGAAATGGGGCTTTCTTCTGAGTAGGATTGCTTCCTAAATAATCTAGTGCTTGATTTGGAAGCAACTGAAAATGATTTCCTTTGTCGTTGCAGACAGAGCCCTTGATTCTGAAACCAGGACCTCTCTATGCTGTGGATGGGGACATAAGTTTGAATGAAAAAATAGAATATAGCATAGTTGATGGTAAGTAAGGGGTAAAAGTAAAGGTAAAGGCTTCCCTAGCTCAAAAGCTAGTCGAGTCCAACTCTAGGGGGCAGTGTCCATCTCCATTTCCAAGCCAAAGAGCTAGCGCTGTCCGAAGATGTTTCCTTGGCCATGAGTAAACCTCCTCCCAATAATTGTTTTGGCTACTAACATTTTCAAGTTTCTGTATCAATGTAATCAAGTCAGAGAGTTTTCATGTTAAAAATGCTTCAGCTATATTCCTATAGGAGCAATCCTACACAGATCTACTCAGAAATCAGTTCCACTTTATTTGATGGGATTTACTCCAGGAAAGTACTCTTAGGCCCCTGCCAC